CATATCACCAGAAAAGAAAGAGATGACTCAACCTATTACTGCACTGCAACAAATGAAGTGAGCCAAAAGACCATAGAGTTCAAACTTAAGGAGTGTCCTGGAGGTAATGCTTTACTTTTCTATTTTGCTTTACAGTAGACTATTCTGCAGAGGAAAGAGGGGTCCTATTTTGATATTCATATAAATGATTTTCAAAAAAGGTCCATCTTTACTGGCAGGTTTGACCACCAAACACACAGCCTACATTACAACATTACTTTAGGAAACTGACCTCACTGCACCCAGTCCAAAAGTCACACTGCCAGCTGCTGTGTACTCTCTAATGTTCTGTGTGGGGAAAACTGTTATACCTGCATGCATGAGTTTTTTTTAAAGCCGCTGTATTTAGTTTGAGTTAATTTAAAAAAAAAGAAATTAAATTATTGCAAATTATTTGCATAGTATTGCAAAATCCAGAATTGTTTTCAATGTCTATTATAAACATGTCCAACATTCTATTTTAATTTCTTTTAAAGTACAAATAATGTTAAAATATATGGAAAAACAATGTCAAATAATTGTTGAAGAAACATCAGCAAAATAAGAGTATCATACAAATACAAAAAAAAATGTTCAGAAAGACTGGTTGTGTGAATGTTGTAAGATTGTTTTGGGTTGCTGTTGTGTGATTGTTGTGTTTATTTTTTATGGGACAATGTTGTGTGAATATTGTGTAGATTTTTGAGCTGGGGTAATGTACATGTGTCTATATTGTGTGTGATGGGGTTGTGGTAAGGTTGTGTGAATGTTGTATTTATTTTTCACATGATGCACTTGTGTTATTGCTGTGTTTACCTTTTTTGAGATGGGATTGTGTGAATGTTGTGTAGTAGGCTTGGGATGATTGACAATAGTATTGGGAATTGCTGATAGATTCCAACTATCAAGAAGGGTATTAAGGATATTACTATATAATCACTGAAATGTACAGCTGTATGTTATAGTTAAATGTACTATGTACTAAGCCCCATAATGATATTGCAACCAGGACTAATTACTTTAGTAGTAAGTAGTAACGTATGCTACCTGTTTCATGTTTTGTAATTTGATATTTCGAAATGTATTATGACCCATACACAATTTCATACTGTATTTTTTCATTTCTGTTTCATTCTTTGTTCTGTTAGGTTATGTATACAGTGAAAATATTGCAACTGGGACAAATTACACTTTTCGTCCAACAATACGAGGAAAAATTGAAAATTTTGACTGGAGACACAATGGGAGGTTAGTGGTTGAGTGGGATCCTGACAACGGGGCTCACTGGTATCGATACAGAGAACGAGCACATATTAACTCTGACACTGGAGACCTCACACTTCAGGTGAAGAAGGAGGACAGTGGTGTATTTA